GCCCTAGGCCCTACAGTGAAAGGGGTTGCACCACAGAAATTTCTGACGAGTAAGAAGATCACAGATCGTGAGCAACAGATGACTAGATGGGTGGAATACTATTCAGAGCTCTACTCACAAGAAACATCAGTCACCGATGTGGCACTCAGCAGCGTACAGGAACTGCCCACTATGAAGGAGCTAGACAAAATGCCTACCTTAGAGGAATTCAGCAAAGCTATCGACTCCCTCACAAATGCAAAGCACCAGGTAGCGATAGCGTCCCACCAGAAGCCATCAATCGCGGGAAACCTACATTGCTACAGAAACTGCATGAGCTACTCTGCCTCTGCTGGGAGTAATAATCAGTCCCCCAAGACGACACCATTGTGACCTTCTACATAAACAAGGGAGACCGTAGTGACTGTAACGATTACATAGGAATTATTAAGAGCAGGAAGGTCAACAACAGACATAAGAATCAGTCCCCCAAGACGACACCATTGTGACCTTCTACAGAAACTAGGGAGTCCGTAGTGACTGTAACAATTACATAGGAATTATTAAGAGCAGGAAGGTCAACAACAGACATAAGAATCAGTCCCCCAAGACGACACCATTGTGACTTTCTACAGAAACTAGGGAGACCGTAGTGACTGTAACAATTACATAGGAATTATTAAGAGCAGGAAGGTCAACAACAGACATAAGAATCAGTCCCCCAAGACGACACAATTGTGACCTTCTACAGAAACTAGGGAGACCGTAGTGACTGTAACAATTACATAGGAATTATTAAGAGCAGGAAGGTCAACAACAGACATAATAATCAGTCCCCCAAGACGACACCATTGTGACCTTCTACAGAAACTAGGGAGACCGTAGTGACTGCAACAATTACATAGGAATTATTAAGAGCAGGAAGGTCAACAACAGACATAAGAATCAGTCCCCCAAGACGACACCATTGTGACCTTCTACAGAACCTAGGGAGACCGTAGTGACTGTAACAATTACATAGGAACTATTAAGAGCAGGAAGGTCAACAACAGACATAAGAATCAGTCCCCCAAGAAGACACCATTGTGACCTTCTACAGAAACTAGGGAGACCGTAGTGACTGTAACAATTACATAGGAATTATTAAGAGCAGGAAGGTCAACAACAGACATAAGAATCAGTCCCCCAAGACGACACCATTGTGACCTTCTACAGAAACTAGGGAGACCGTAGTGACTGTAACAATTACATAGGAATTATTAAGAGCAGGAAGGTCAACAACAGACATAAGAATCAGTCCCCCAAGACGACACCATTGTGACCTTCTACAGAACCTAGGGAGACCGTAGTGACTGTAACAATTACATAGGAATTATTAAGAGCAGGAAGGTCAACAACAGACATAAGAATCAGTCCCCCAAGACGACACCATTGTGACCTTCTACAGAACCTAGGGAGACCGTAGTGACTGTAACAATTACATAGGAATTATTAAGAGCAGGAAGGTCAACAACAGACATAAGAATCCGTCCCCCAAGACGACACCATTGTGACCTTCTACAGAAACTAGGGAGACCCTAGTGACTGTAACAATTACATAGGAATTATTAAGAGCAGGAACGTCAACAACAGACATAAGAATCAGTCCTCCAAGACGACACCATTGTGACCTTCTACAGAAACTAGGGAGACCGTAGTGACTTTACATAGGAATTATTAAGAGCAGGAAGGTCAACAACAGACATAAGAATCAGTCCCCCAAGACGACACCATTGTGACCTTCTACATAAACTAGGGAGACCGTAGTGACTGTAACAATTACATAGGAATTATTAAGAGCAGGAAGGTCAACAACAGACATAAGAATCAGTCCCCCAAGACGACACCATTGTGACCTTCTACAGAACCTAAGGTGACCGTAGTGACTGTAACAATTACATAGGAATTATTAAGAGCAGGAAGGTCAACAACAGACATAAGAATCAGTCCCCCAAGTCGACACCATTGTGACCTTCTACATAAACTAGGGAGACCGTAGTGACTGTAACAATTACATAGGAATTATTAAGAGCAGGAAGGTCAACAACAGACATAAGAATCAGTCCCCCAAGACGACACCATTGTGACCTTCTACAGAACCTAGGGAGACCGTAGTGACTGTAACAATTACATAGGAATTATTAAGAGCAGGAAGGTCAACAACAGACATAAGAATCAGTCCCCCAAGACGACACCATTGTGACCTTCTACAGAAACTAGGGAGACCGTAGTGACTGTAACAATTACATAGGAATTATTAAGAGCAGGAAGGTCAACAACAGACATAAGAATCAGTCCCCCAAGACGACACCATTGTGACCTTCTACAGAAACTAGGGAGACCGTAGTGACTGTAACAATTACATAGGAAGTATTAAGAGCAGGAAGGTCAACAACAGACATAAGAATCAGTCCCCCAAGACGACACCATTGTGACCTTCTACATAAACTAGGGAGACCGTAGTGACTGTAACAATTACATAGGAATTATTAAGAGCAGGAAGGTCAACAACAGACATAAGAATCAGTCCCCCAAGACGACACCATTGTGACCTTCTACATAAACTAGGGAGACCGTAGTGACTGTAACAATTACATAGGAATTATTAAGAGCAGGAAGGTCAACAACAGACATAAGAATCAGTCCCCCAAGACGACACCATTGTGACCTTCTACAGAACCTAAGGAGACCGTAGTGACTGTAACAATTATATAGGAATTATTAAGAGCAGGAAGGTCAAAACCAGACATAAGAATCAGTCCCCCAAGTCGACACCATTGTGACCTTCTACAGAAACTAGGGAGACCGTAGTGACTGTAACAATTATATAGGAATTATTAAGAGCAGGAAGGTCAACAACAGACATAAGAATCAGTCCCCCAAGACGACACCATTGTGACCTTCTACAGAACCTAGGGAGACCGTAGTGACTGTAACAATTACATAGGAATTATTAAGAGCAGGAAGGTCAACAACAGACATAAGAATCAGTCCCCCAAGACGGCACCATTGTGACCTTCTACAGAACCTGGGGAGACCGTAGTGACTGTAACAATTACATAGGAATTATTAAGAGCAGGAAGGTCAACAACAGACATAAGAATCAGTCCCCCAAGACGACACCATTGTGACCTTCTACAGAAACTAGGGAGACCGTAGTGACTGTAACAATTACATAGGAATTATTAAGAGCAGGAAGGTCAACAAGAGACATGATCTTCTCCCTCTGACAACTACAAGAGAAAATCAAAGAGCAAGATCAACACGATGGACAAGAAGGCATGCGGTATTTCACTAGACAGAAAGTACAGGCAGAGGATCGAGGCACCTGGAGATTGACAGTCAGCAAGGGCATAGGGGTAGCTGATGGGATGAAAGTACAGCAGAAACGCGAGAGGAAGAAGCATACAGCAGCAAACCAAGCTACACAGACTTCCAACTGCAATAGGGACTGTCACTTGCGTATTGGCCTGCACAGTCATAACAGACGATGCCAAAACCACAGCGATAGACAACACTAAAAAGTGCGCTACTCAGATGGTCTTCCGAGACCGAGCTGCCAATCAATGAATGATATATATATATATATATATATATATATATATATATATATATATATATATATAGATATATATATATATATATATATATATATACATACATACATGTGTGTGTTTTAAGTTGGATTTATGGTGCAGACTCTAAATCTGCTGGCCCAATGATTAAACCTCGCCATCACAAACGAATCTTTTGTAAAGACACTTCCTATTAACCACATGAAACTGTATGTGAAGAAATCAATTTGTTAGTACGAGTGTGGCACATGTCAAGTGCACGTATTACTGTTGAACGAGTTATCGGAAAAATTAAAGATTCAAAGATTATACTAAGACCAGTGCTGCAAAGATTTTTAAAAGGAAAGAATGCAAAACAACTGGCTCCGAGTGATTGGTGGAATTGCTAACGCGAATCAGCCTTTGTTTTATATTGTAAATTAGGCACAAGTGCAGTCGTGTGTTGATTTTCTTTTAAAACGTGACCCTTGTATCACTTTCTAATACCTGTTTGACAGAATAATGACTGAAAAATGTAAATAATGAGAGAAAACATGTAAATAAAATGTTTTGTCTTTATCTTGTTTGAATTTGCATTCAAATGTGAATGGTAATGTGTCATTGGCAAACTTGTAATTTAGTTCGCTTTGCATTCATCCATTCCCTATTCTCCATCAAGCACGGTTATGACTGTGCTGAGAGTTAATATCGCCACTATATTGAGATCTATTGTGTCCTATTTTAATATCATTATGAAATATATAAAAAAAAACATTACTGACCTAAAATGTTCCGTTATGTTAATGCCCATTCATCCCATTGTGACACAAAACTTAACATTAAATTCCCATTGAACTCCATAATGTTAAATTTTCCGCATCTCCCTTTAACGTCCCATCCGTACTAAAATATCCTAGGGACCCTTATACCCCTTAATGTTAAATTCCCGCATCACCCTTTAACGTCCCATCGGTACTAAAATATCCTAGTGACCCTTAGACCCCTAATGTTAAATTCCCGTAGGATCACTACAGTCGTATATTCTCATATGACCATACAACTCCCCCTAAACCGCTAAATTTAAATATCCGTAACTCCCATACCTTTCCCGATTTGCCATAATGTTCAATTCACAGTCCACGATATCGCCACGTGTAACTATTGACATCAGATTAGAACGTAAAATGGATGAATTTCCAAATCTAACAATGTTTAACTTTTGTGTTTTAACACTAAAATGGCAATAATCTATTCTTCGAACAAAATAGGGTCCCCATTACAAACATATTAATACTAAGTTCACAAATTAAAAATTTTCTATTGAAGTAAGGATTAAAATAGAGCATTTTTGGATTGAGGATTAATTATTTTTATTGGGTTTGATTTATATTCAAATTATGTTATTCATCTGGGTCAATGCTTCTAAACCGCTCGGTGGCCTATTGGTTAGAGCGTCCGACTCGGATTCGGAAGGTAGTGGGTTCAGACCCCGGCCGAGTCATATCAAAGACTTACAAAAATGGTATTAATAGCTGCCTCGCTTGATGGCTCAGCATTAAGAGGTTAGTGTTAGGACTGGTCTGCGTGGTATCAGGATAATGTGACTGGGTAGTACATCATGCTACATGTCTGCGGCATGATGTCTTAGTGCTAGACATCACTATAAAACTGCCACACTGCAGACATCGTAGTGATATGACTGAAGAATTGTTAAAACTACGTTAAAAATCTAAATCATACATACACACTCAATGTTTCTAATTATTGAGTGCCACACCATTTTTTCTCGGTGGCAATAATTATTTTCAGAGGTTACATATTATTACATATAAAACAACTACACAAATGAATAGCAATGACGACAGAACGAGACAATAAATTAGGTAATATAAGAAATATGCATGTGAGAGAACAAATGACGCGTCTAAATGCTTGAAGGAAATCCTTGATAGAGCATGGATATTTTGTAAGAAACGAATTACGTAGACACGTGACGTATCTGTCTGATAGGAAGATAAGGACCCGATAACTAGACAAGAGGTATAGAGCAGTTTAAGACGTTGTAAGAAACATGGGTTGTAAAATGTTGCGGTTCATATTTCAACTTTTGGTTTGTGTTCCATTAACTTTTTCTTTTGTCATCGGGGGCGATGATTCCGATACGGTGTCAGGCAATATCGCTTACTTACACCAACTTCTTTCAGAGGAGAAGGTTCTCCGTTCATCTCTAGAAACGAAAATCCAACAAATGGACCAGCGGATGCAGCAACTTGAAACAAATATGTCCACATTGCAAAAGGGTAAGTTTTCAAGATTGGCAAGTGGATTTTGTTTCGACACCAGGAGCAAGTATTGAAACATTCTTTATAGATTTTCAAGTATATTTATGCTCTTTAAATTGTATTACTAAAAGATCAGAGATTGAGTCTCATTAAAACTGCAAAAATATGAGGAATATACACAGGAAAAAAAGGACAAAATGTATTCAAAATTTAGTCGCATAAATTTTTTTTTTTTAAAAAAAAGTTTTTTTAGTAGAATTTTCGAAAACAATACTGATAGTTCCTTTACTGCATTTGGAACGTTGTAAGTAACAAGCAAGCAAGATGAAAACAGATTCCTGACCAGCAAGCTTAGATATTCTTTCCAGAACCGAATTAAATGGAGTAGTCTTTACGGTGGTAAATAGCAAGACTGATGTGAATATTAGAATGTGATTGCCTTGAAGAATATGACGTAAGCAAACAGCACATACCATATAGACTATTGTTTGTGCATACATATAGACTATTGTATGTGCATCCATATAGACTAGTGTATGTGCATCCATAGAGACTATTCTATGTGCATCTAAAAAGACTATTGTATGTGCATCCATCTAGACTATTGTATATGCATCCATCTAGACTATTGTATGTGAATCCATATAGACTATTGTATGTGCATCCATATAGACTATTGTATGTGCATCCATATAGACTATTGTATGTGCATCCATATAGACTATTGTATGTGAATCCATATATACTATTGTATGTGCATCCATATAGACTATTGTATGTACATCCATCTAGACTATTGTATGTGCATCCATATAGACTATTGTATGTGCGTCCATACAGACTATTGTATGTGCATCCATATAGACTATTGTATGTGCATCTAAAAAGACTATTGTATGTGCATCCATCTAGACTATTGTATATGCATCCATATAGACTATTGTATGTGCATCCATATAGACTATTGTATGTGCATCCATATAGACTATTGTATGTGCATCCATATAGACTATTGTATGTGCATCCATATAGACTATTGTATGTGCATACATATAGACTATTGTATGCGCATCCATATAGACTATTGTATGTGCATCCATATAGACTATTGTATGTGCATACATATAGACTATTGTATGTACATCCATCTTTACTATTGTATGTGTATCCATCTAGACTATTGTATGTGTATCCATCTAGACTATTGTATGTGCATCCATCTAGACTATTGTAAGTGTATCCATCTAGACTATTGTATGTGCATCCATATAGACTATTGTATGTGTATCCATCTAGACTATTGTATGTGTATCCATATTCACTATTGTATGTGTATCCATCTGGACTATTGTATGTGCATCCATCTAGACTATTGTAAGTGTATCCATCTAGACTATTGTATGTGCATCCATATAGACTATTGTATGTGTATCCATCTAGACTATTGTATGTGTATCCATATACACTATTGTATGTGTATCCATCTGGACTATTGTATGTGTATCCATCTAGACTATTGTATGTGCATCCATATAGACTATTGTATGTGCGTCCATATAGACTATTGTATGTGTATCCATCTAGACTATTGCATGTGCATCCATATAGGCTATTGTATGTGTATCCATCTAGATTATTGTATATGCATCCATATAGACTATTGTATGTGTATCCATATAGACTATTGTATGTGCATCCATATAGACTATTGTATGTGCTTCCATACAGACTCTTGTATGTGCATCCATATAGACTATTGTATGTGCATCTAAAAAGACTATTGTATGTGCATCCATCTAGACTATTGTATATGCATCCATATAGACTATTGTATGTGCATCCATATAGACTATTGTATGTGCATCCATATAGACTATTGTATGTGCATCCATATAGACTATTGTATGTGCATCCATATAGACTATTGTATGTGCATACATATAGACTATTGTATGCGCATCCATATAGACTATTGTATGTGCATCCATATAGACTATTGTATGTGCATACATATAGACTATTGTATGTACATCCATCTTTACTATTGTATGTGTATCCATCTAGACTATTGTATGTGTATCCATCTAGACTATTGTATGTGCATCCATCTAGACTATTGTAAGTGTATCCATCTAGACTATTGTATGTGCATCCATATAGACTATTGTATGTGTATCCATCTAGACTATTGTATGTGTATCCATATTCACTATTGTATGTGTATCCATCTGGACTATTGTATGTGCATCCATCTAGACTATTGTAAGTGTATCCATCTAGACTATTGTATGTGCATCCATATAGACTATTGTATGTGTATCCATCTAGACTATTGTATGTGTATCCATATACACTATTGTATGTGTATCCATCTGGACTATTGTATGTGTATCCATCTAGACTATTGTATGTGCATCCATATAGACTATTGTATGTGCGTCCATATAGACTATTGTATGTGTATCCATCTAGACTATTGCATGTGCATCCATATAGGCTATTGTATGTGTATCCATCTAGATTATTGTATATGCATCCATATAGACTATTGTATGTGTATCCATATAGACTATTGTATGTGCATCCATATAGACTATTGTATGTGCTTCCATACAGACTCTTGTATGTGCATCCATATAGACTATTGTATGTGCATCTAAAAAGACTATTGTATGTGCATCCATCTAGACTATTGTATATGCATCCATATAGACTATTGTATGTGCATCCATATAGACTATTGTATGTGCATCCATATAGACTATTGTATGTGCATCCATATAGACTATTGTATGTGCATCCATATAGACTATTGTATGTGCATACATATAGACTATTGTATGCGCATCCATATAGACTATTGTATGTGCATCCATATAGACTATTGTATGTGCATACATATAGACTATTGTATGTACATCCATCTTTACTATTGTATGTGTATCCATCTAGACTATTGTATGTGTATCCATCTAGACTATTGTATGTGCATCCATCTAGACTATTGTAAGTGTATCCATCTAGACTATTGTATGTGCATCCATATAGACTATTGTATGTGTATCCATCTAGACTATTGTATGTGTATCCATATTCACTATTGTATGTGTATCCATCTGGACTATTGTATGTGCATCCATCTAGACTATTGTAAGTGTATCCATCTAGACTATTGTATGTGCATCCATATAGACTATTGTATGTGTATCCATCTAGACTATTGTATGTGTATCCATATACACTATTGTATGAGTATCCATCTGGACTATTGTATGTGTATCCATCTAGACTATTGTATGTGCATCCATATAGACTATTGTATGTGCGTCCATATAGACTATTGTATGTGTATCCATCTAGACTATTGCATGTGCATCCATATAGGCTATTGTATGTGTATCCATCTAGATTATTGTATATGCATCCATATAGACTATTGTATGTGTATCCATATAGACTATTGTATGTGCATCCATATAGACTATTGTATGTGCATCCATATAGACTATTGTATGTGCATCCATATAGACTATTGTATGTGCGTCCATATAGACTATTGTATGTGCGTCCGTATAGACTATTGTATGTGCATCAATGTAATTCACAAATATTACAGATCAGTAGTTTCCAAAGAAATTGCTTACGTATAAGTGTTTTGTAACGGCTTGTATAGGATAGCAAGACTAGACTACAAAAACTGAAAACTGCAGAACATGGTATTCACAAATTTTAAGGAAATTAGTTGATTTAAAATCTGCGGGAGCAAAATATTAGAAGAGAAAGTTAAAGACCACGATCAAAAAAAAATCGTGCTCATGGAAACTCTGATTTCAATTTTTGAAATCCAAAATTACATTTGTTTATTCATAAACTGACTGACATCTGTTCAACAAGAACCATGCAAAATTTGTCTGATGATGGCGTGGAAATTACCCACAACTACGATGCAACATACATTTCATTCAAGACCTATCTCATCAGTGTTAGATTTGAGATTTAGAGTGTAATGTTAAATATGAAATCCGCCAAAAGAACACATAGAAATAGTGGAAGGTGATTTTCTACTATCTGAAAGTTAAAAGGCATCCTAACATAATTATATACACCATAAACTGTACTTTTTATGTACCAAGTTTGTTGTGCGTTATTAGTTGCCGATCCCAACGTCCTCACGTTTTAATTCATACTACTTATTCAACTTTTCAACTTTTGTTGGCAA